GTCAACAACTATGTCGTTTTGTGTTCTAATTTAGTGTCCTCTGTTCTGTAAAATATTTGTTTTGGTTTCATATTGTCAGTAATGTTTTTAGGAATAATGGATTCGTAAATCAAAATTAAGTATCTTAACAAATATGTTCATTAATACTATTAGTCTTAGCGACTTAACTACACTATGCCCCTATTTCGTAAACAGATAAATTGCATTTTGTTTTTGTTTGTAGAAAAACAAACAGATTAGTTTGTTGCAAGGAATGATGATGGTGCTAAATCGTAGGGTTAATGATTTTGGGCTTAAGGAGTGACTGCGTACACTTGGGCCCAGGCCCAGTCGACTCTGTTTCGGTAACAGAGCACAGAAGCCAGAACAGAGCAACCTGCAAGCTTCTCTCTTCTTTCCCAATTTTATTCATGTAACAACAGACACGATCAATCAAATCAAAGCACGTATCTTTACAAGATTTATATATTATATGATGGAGTTAAATGTTATAATCTTCTGCGGAGCTTAATAAATCTTTACGAGATTATATTATATTATATGATCAACATATCAAGGCAAAATACATTATTTCGAAACGTGTAAAATATTCTGTTCAACGAACATAACTAGAATATCTACCACAAATCGATAGAATACAATAACAAGAAACAGAAAACCAATAGAAAAACATTGCCAAAGATTCTGAAATTGCCCGGTCAGAGAGAAAGATTACTGCCAAAGTTTGGTCAACATGTCGATCTCTCTTCTCGTCCGAACATATTCTTCAACTCTTCTTACTGTTATAACCTATAGTAGCTGTCGTTGGTGATCCCTTAAACTGGCTCAGGACAAGATCAGAAAAAGACATAATCATAGTCATCATTAAAAGACTAACCAGAAAATCTTCATGATCTTGAGATAATACCTCGTGTTTGCTCTTGTTGTTAGTGATCATGCTTTAGGAGGTGAGAGATGACGATTGTGAAAGGTATAGGAAGAAGGTTTATATAGAAAATGCATGTGACACGAGTAAGTGATACACTGACACTTGAAAAGACTTATTGCAAAGTGATGATACAAGCTGTTTGTACTACTAAAGTATGATTTTGTAATTAGTACAATCAGCTCAAAAAGACAGAGAAAAACATAGTTGAAGTGAGATCCATTTGACACATTTCAACGAATTGGATCGGATAACTAATGGAATATTCCTTTTGGTGTTGCTGATGTACACAATTCCATTTTTTTTCTCTCTACACTACATGC